TCTTGCCATCCAACCACCCACCTACTCATATTTACCATATAATCATACCCCAAACTACTCACATTTATCCATCCAATCACAACTCAAACTAGTCACATTCATCCATCCAAACACATACCTCAAACTAGTCACATTCATCCATCCAATCACATACACCAAGCTTTATATATATGACAGGCTGGGGCATATTGAGGAAACTGGTAAATCCAGCCCTATCGGTAATACATGCCTTTTCCATTTGCTGTTTTAGATTTGCATGTTGGGGACTCTGAACCTTCCTGACACTTGGAAATTAGTGCAGAGAGATCCCAGCAGTAAACCACTGAACTGCATGGATGAGCTTTGACTACAGCATGGTGTGTGTGTTTGAGGCTGTGCGTGAAAATTAATGTCTGTGTGTATGGGTCTGTGCCTATGTATATCAATATGTATGTCTGTTTATATGTGTGTATGTGTGTATGTGAATCTAAGCATGTGTTAATATTAATGTGTATGTATATGTGTGTATGTATATTAACATGAAAATATGTCTGTGATTTCGCCAACAGAAGGGGTTGGGGTACAGAGTGAGACACAAAGTAAAAGTCTGTGGTTTCGATGGGGAATGCCAAAATACATTTCCATCCCAGGTGCCATGAAACCTAGATACGCCTCTAATGGCACATGCTCAGCAACTGCCTCATTCCATAAATTGGATGCATTGAATCCAATGCTTTTAAACCTCTAAAACTGCAAACATGAAGACTATCAACAATTGAAGGTCTTCACGAAGAAGTGTCTCTAGTAGCTGTCAATCTAACAATCGCTAGAGGGTGTTTTTGGTGAAATGTAAGCATTGCCTTTTCACTTAAATAAGGGACAGGATCTAGGCAACAGAACCACATCAATAAGATAAAGTGGTTTTGGTGCTTAGAGTGTCTCCTTAAAAGGGATCTATCACTTCTCAGGATTTTTAACATTATGCTTGCTTAACCCGTATGTGTAAGAACTATGTATTGCAATTAAATGTGTGAATCAACACATTGTCCTTCTGCATATGAGTGCCTCCATCTTGGCTCCCTATAAATTATTGTTATAAAAGAATGGCTGCACTCAACTAAACATGGATACTTTCTAAGGGTGCTGTTGGTGAATAAATAAATAACATATAAAATGCACTGGACATGCCAACATACTTTGGACCATGTAGTAGAAATGTTTTTAGATCTAGATCATTGACACCATTTTCATTAACACTAAAAAAAGCAAAATATAAAACTGGTGTTACAGCCATAAATCATCACAACTGATGTAAGACTCGCAAATCAATATAGACTGTCTGTCAGAAGGACACAAACAAGCACCAGGGGTCTTATACTTTAACATTGAAATTCTCTACTATTCTTTATCAGCATTGAGAGAAATATCCAATTACATCCTCTGAGATTTTCCTCTTTATTAGGGAAAGAACATTCATAACTAATCAGTTTATTATTTTCCAGGAGTATTTTCTAAAAATCATTTTCTAGAAATGCAGTTTCTCAGAAATTGAGTGTAAAAAGAAAGTCATACAAAAAAAAATGTTACTCAAAATCATTAAACAATTAAAAAAAAAAAGATACATGTATTATAGTATATCATTAGAGAAGTCCTTATTATGTGTCTGAAAAAGCAGCAGGGACTGAGACTGGCACCCACACTATATTCCCAGCCAATTTTCAAACCTCCTGCCTCCACTATGAGATTCATTAAAGGGAAAAAAAAAATCAATCCTCCTGTCTAGCATGCACCCCTGTTGCTAGGCAATTATTTTATAAAGATTGCTAGAGCACAGTCTGGCGTAAAGTCAATGGAATCCTGTATAGCATCCGCCCATTAGCATTGTTCGTCTGTCTCAGTGTTAGGTAAGAATGTACCAGTGAGCAAACCATTTTATGCATATACGTTATGGAAAAAAATTTGTTTTCTCTTGGTTTAAAATACATATCTAATTAAAATTCAGCTCCCATGCCACTGCGATAATGATTTCTTCTGACATATTCTGCACTGTATTAATTTGCAATAGTGAATTTATATTGAACGACTATGCTATTTAGACAAGTCACATTTAAGCCTCCCTTGTAGAATGTCTCAGTATACTGCGATCAATTTAAAGTGAAGAGATTGCTGGCTGTTTCAATGATAGGCATCCTCTAGAATTCCTGTTGCTGTAACCTATGACCTAACGACTGGCTGTGGATCATGGGAGTACCAGTCTATGTAGACTAACCCTGGATGTGTTGATTGGACACTGTCCAGAAGGTGGTAAAAGTAAAAAATAATGTAGACAATGAAAGGAACAATTGTATATTATTTGTTGTTTTTATTTTCTTTGTAAAAAAAAGGTTAATTTCCTTCTTTTATAGCAGGAAAGGTCCTTTAGCATACCCCATTTATTAATTGCCAACTAACGGGGCTCCAGCTGCTGAAACACTGGTGGCTGCCTATCCGTGAATATAATATTGAGGTCCGTTATAGAGCACTAACACATTTTGTAACACTGTAAAATAGACAGACCAACAAACACATAGTTGCAAAAAGATAAGCTAACCACCATGACCACTTCTACTTTTAGAAATGGTCAATATTGTAGGAGTCTGTATGTGCAGCGTTTCTGCTTCAAACACTGCACATACTTTAGTTGCACCCCCAGCACACTCTGTTCTTTGCTGTCTAATATCAATTCTGTGCACAAAACCATCTGTCATGAGCACACACTGCATGCTGGGAACATACTGGTCTAGAGAGCGTGCGTGCTCTCTGAGTCTGTGAAATGGTAAAATCAGATGCTTCTCTATGAGAAGCATTTGATCAGACCATTAATAATGTTATTTGATGACAGACTGAGCGTGGAAATGAAGCAAGGAGGTAAGTTTGAATCTGTTTAATAGAGTTTTTTAAATTAAAAGACGGGTGGACAAGATCAGTATAATATAAGGTCAGGCATAATAAAGCTAAACAAATTGGTGAGGAAAGGGTTATAGGAACTCTTAAAAACACACAGGGACAAAACTTGCTGAGGGTCCTGCACAAACAAGTTCCACGTTATATTTGCATATTGCTTGAGAGCAGATTTTCTCTCTTTCTTAATATCCACATTGTTAATGTGCAACATGTTCTCTCACACTTATGATGCTGCGTATTTGTATAGATGTCTCCTGTGGTGCTACCCCTTTAAACCTCTTTATCCAGCTTGTGGATTCTATTTTGTTTGGACTATCTCTAAATGAAAAACTAGGAATCAGTAACAAGATTCTCTTATTTGTATCTGACATGCTGTCAGACTTGGAATTCCTATTTAACCAGCTTCCCTATTCTGAGTGATAGCCATCACTGCTTTGCAATGTAGGAATGCATACAGATACACTGAGCTTGATGTAGTCCATTAGAAAGGGGAGTACACGTTTAACCTTGACTGTCAACATTCAAGGTCATCTTGCTGATATTAGTGCTTTGTAAGCGTGTGTAAAAGTCTAGAGAGCAAATTGGCACAATGAGAAAAGCATGTACTTATAGCATAAAAGATGATTACAATCCAGATGTGCCTATATTCAAAGCAGATTTTATGTCTGAGTCGATTACCTGTGAACAGATTGTCCTTATTTATATTTCAGCATGCTCTCTTGCAGCCTAGAACTACGGATGCATTGTGTGTAACTAACAAGATTCATCTCAGCACATTTTAAGCAATGCTATGCCAAATGTGTGCGTTGAATTGCAAAAATTAAAGCTAAATAGCCATATTATTATTACATGCCCTGTGGATAATATGTGTATGGCATGTTGATGTATACATTAGAATGGGTAGTATAAAGAATAATTATTGGCATGGGTCAAAATATATAGTGGGTATTAATGTATGCTTGTTTTGTCCATTAATGGCATCCTGCTATTTTAGAATAATGGTCTTGAAACAGCCTTAAAATTACTAAGCACACCCTATTTGCCACTATTTGTAAATACCACTTGCCCTTATAGTACACCTATATATTTTTTATTTCCTCTACAACTGCTGCATTCGATCTCAGACAGTTTGTTGGCTAAACATGATGTGAATTATAACCTGTGGATGAAAAACTGCTAATATAGGATAGTGTAATGGCAGCTTTAAGATATGCATCACTGTGATACTATATAAATCGTACATTTCTTTTGTAGTGACAATGAGCATGATGACGCCAGTGTTGAAAATGACCGTTGATGGCTCTTGAATGATGCAAGGTGAAAAGAATTGAAGAAAGAAATACAATGCCTATAACTTGAAAGATGCTACACGTGTTTTAATCTAAATGTATTTAAATGTTAGGATTTCATCATCCTAATTTGCAAAGTTTTACTTGATGCCAAAGGTGTTTTTTCTTCAAACAGTGAGATAAAATCTATACACAATGGATGGCAAAATTTCTTCAATTTAGTAGACTGTAATCTAATTTGACTTGCTGTTTAGTGGTAATCACCCAAATAATGTGTCATGTGAATCCGCAGTTCTTGGATTTGCACTGCATGGTAGAGATTAAGCCACTCCTACATGAATTGATTATAGCCACCCTATTGTTGAGGGACACAGAGGGTTATCTGAATATCACAGTACCAAAGGATACATGTTCATTTTATATCATGAACCGTGAGTGTTTTAAGTACAAGGCTAACATTCTTTCAGTAGATAGTGTTGTTTTTATGATGATCCAACGTTTCTAAATTCATAATCATTGATATTATCATTGGATTCTGTCTATTTCTGCCTGATGTAACTCCACAATGTTCATGCAGGTATTTCAAGTCTCACTAAAGTCCTATGAAACTGGTTCGAGAGAAACAAGATGGGGGATAAGCTGAGCCAACACACTGTGCTGTTTCCAAATACACAGTACTTCTCTCTGCAAATCCAATCCTTGGATACAGCCCCTCAGGATACATATTACCAAGTGTGTGTGTGTGTGTGTGTGTATATATATATATATATATATATATATATATATATATATACACATATATATATATATATATACATACATACATATACAAACACACACACACACTTATACATTAAACTACGTACCTTGCCAGTATAGCTTAACAGTATAGCAATATAGCTTCAGTAACTGGAGCATGTACACATACAGACCCATGTATACCATCAATGCCAGGGGTGATAAGAAAAGTGGGTAGCCTGGTGGCATGTAGAAAGGATCAACCTCTGATTTTACCATCTGGAAAAATTTGGACTTTTTACATATGGTCAAGAGGTAATATAATTCATAACTAGGGCTACATGATGCATTTAGCATACATCTACATCTTTCTGATAGCACTAATTAATTTATGGAAATATAATGCAATAAGTTACACATGTATAAAATCATAGGAATAGGGTCAGTCAGTAAGTGTGAACTAAGTAGCTACCTAGAGGGGCTGAAGGCTAACCGTGTAAAATAATGCATATTAATCTAGGAGGTTAATTAAATCACTTAATGTGCCTAGATTCCTAGGGCTGGACCTGCAAGTTTTATTTAAGAGAAATGTCTACCGTAGTGGATGCAAGGTCCACAATTGATTGTTCGTGCTCACCTAATTCTTTACCATCCCCTTAATATACCATCCCACTTATTTTAGACTGCAAAGAACAGGTATGGCTGGATTTTGGCATTGCTCATGCACTATAGTTATTTACCATCTGCATTCATTTTACACAGCAGATATTTTTTAAACTTACCTCAACATTAATTATATTTAATAATTGCAATTATAAAGATCCTACACCCCCTAACAAATGATTGAACTAATATTATTTTTTATTATAAATTACTGTAATAGTGGATGAAGATAAAGAAAATAGTACAAATTCCCATTGCACACATTCTTTTATTGTGTGTGAAACATTTACATTTTTTCCTAAATATTGGTAATGCATCACCTTAATACATGAAAATATAACTTTCTTTTCCATTTGCACTAAACACTGCATTTAATCACATGATTTTTGTATAGCTATATCTTTTATACACATATTGAAACACTCAGCATTACATTCCTGCCTTCCAGTCCATATTTATCTGCTATCTGAATAACACAATTCCCCGCAGCTTAATCCCAATGATGTGAGAAGACTCCGACAGTTTATTTAAATGATGATTTATGTATGCAGATGTTATTCCATGTCTGCATGCATAATAACCTATAACGATGAGGGCTTCTCACACAGCTATTCTTGATTGATAACTGCTGTTTCTGATTGGACAAAATGGCAACAGAGAGTCTATAGTTCTGTTTACTTATTGATACATTCGGTCCTGTGTACTATAACTAGTGAAATAGACTTTAGTAGATAAGTTAATGTGACACTGTAAGATAGTAATATGATTATCTGACTGGAATGACATTTCACGTTAATATTATCGAATATTAATACATCTCTGTACAGAGTCAGGCAAAGATTTTATGTCCTCTTCTCATACCTTTACAGGCCTGTCACTCAATCACACTGTCAATCAATGTCAGGTGAAGTCACACACTAATACTGTCATTTAACTATGCCAATTACTCAGGAATGCTGTCACTCGAGTGCTGTAAGTCATTCATTCCCATCGATCTAGGTTTCCATCCATGATGCAGTAAATCAGTCATACCACTGCATGATGTTAGGGTTATATAATACATATTCTACATTTAACTTTTCCTCATGGCTTATATTGACGGTGATGTAGACAGAGGAATATATATTGGGTACACCCAATCTACATGTAAAAAACATGTTGAGTGACATTATACATATATTCACTGTCTCACGTTGTATGTCAAAGAACTTACTGAGTTGTTCTATGTCTGGTCACTCAGTCCCAGTAACTCACAAAAAACGACCTTCACAATTTTTAGTTTAAATAATCTCTGATCTTTATCAAGACACGGACTCAATGTGTGACACAAATAATATTTAGATAACACGGTATCATCAACTCTATTAGGTTTCTCTATTTGGTCAAATATGACACAAGTATTCCCATTTTGGCTTCCTAGGCTGTGCGTTGCAGGGGGCTCATCTTGCTTTCCTTCCTAATTTTCTGATTCATTTTATGCTGTACACAACATCCACCCTCTGTGTTTTAAACTCTCCCGACATCCAGCATTTAATAATAACAATAATAGTAATACATAATAGTTATTGAAACACAAAGTCAGATCTCGTAGGTACGTGAGCAGAATATCATCCATGGTGTTCATTATGTATTATGATCAGTCAATGTTTCCTCCTTCTCAGATTGTTATCATTGCTCCTTCATGTTCCTGACAATGCTGAATGACAGGGCCCTCAGACATGACATGACAAGTGCCGAGGGAGCTATAGTAGCCTATGATGGCTGGGGGTAGAGATTGTTTCCGCATTTACAGCACAGCAGACAATTCAAGGTAGATCCCATGTCATCGTCTTTTTCTCAGAACCACATAGCAATATATTTAGTTCTAGTAGTTTAAGGTCTGTCTGCAGCGGTAGGCAATCTTCGATACTCCAGATGTTGTGAACTACATCTTCCATAATACTTTTACAGCCATAATCCTGGCAAAGCATGAAGGGAGATGTAGTCCACAATATCTGGAGTGCCGAAGGTTGCCTACCCCTGCTCTACTATATCTGTACTGCATATTCTAGTACTTTGGGTACTGTTTCAGCTACAGGAGCATGTTAAACAATGAAAATTAAGTAGAACTGTAAATTAATTATACCCTCATGACAATGATAACATAAACCACTATTTTTATATCACATTCTATTAATAGTGGGGTTGTACACTAGCTCCTAAATGTGGTCAAAGCAAGAGAAAATGACTTTCAGAGGTCAGAAATCACTTACTTCTGCATCAACTGATGATGTAACTGCCCAACTTTTGCTTGATCAGCTGTGAAGCAGAACTGAATGTAATATCATGTGTCTGCCAAAATACTTATGCATTGCTTTTTTAAATATTTTTTTTATATTTTTGATTAACATTGCAGCATACCAAAGAGGCCATAGTGATGATGATAAAACATACAGAAAAGGAAAGCATAAAGAATATAAAAAATAAGAAAATTATATATTGGTGTATTTATTTTAATTTTTGCTTATATGAAAGAAACAAAAATTAAGATAAAAAAATTATTTCAATTTTAAAATGTAAAGTTTCTTTATTCTCAGGTTACAGATGATATTGCAAAAACATAGGTGGAAATATATATTTTTACATTAAATGTTGAATTTTTTTATTCATAAATTTAATAAATCAAGTTGTTAATTTGTTCTTGGTAAATAAAGTTATTTTAAAAAACTACAATTCTGTGCTTTGCCTGCTAGATTGTAATGTATATTTTATGCAAGAATATTTTTGAAGATGGTTTTATTTTTTTATGTCTGTTCATTTTGTACTTTGTGCTTAGATGTTTATAAATGACAAAGCTTATAGAAGAACACACAACAATGATAAAAAGGATGAGGGAATTCGGTAAGATCTGGAATTGAATAAGGGAGGTAACGAGATTGTGTGAGCTGTTCTGGAAAATGAAAAAACATTCTTCACGATACAAAATGACCAATGGACCCACTAATGCACTCAAAGCTTTACAATAGTGTGAACATTGTCTAAGTGGGAAAAAAAAACATACCAATTTTCATTCCTCATTTTTTTTATAGTTTAACCCCTTAAAGGGACACTCCAGGCACCCAGACCACTTCTGCCAATTGGAGTGGTCTGGGTGCCAACTCCCACTACCCTTAACCCTGCAAGTTTGTTTATAAACTGCAATATTTACATTGCAGGGTTAACTCCACCTCTAGTGCTTTCCTATGGGGAGCTCTAATGTGCATGTGCGGCATTGCTGCGCATGCGCATTAGGTCTCCCCAGCCGGCAGACGGGATCAGTCTCACCCACCGGCCGACGTAATGCAGAGGAGGAGCTGCGGCGGAGGAAGAAGCAGCGACATGGGACATGTCGCTGCCTCTGGTAAGTGACTGGAGGGGTTTTCACCCCTTCAGCAACCGGGGATTGGGAGGTGGGAGCAGGGCCGGACTGGGAATTAAAAGCAGCCCTGGAAAAAAAATATTTACCAGCCCCATAATGGTCACGCCAGCATAGTGTGCAGATACAGAGTTAGAACAGATAACTTAAAATTAAAAAGTACTTCAACGTAAAAAGCGCACTCATAGGCTTCAAAATAAACAAAAGTGCAGATTTATTTTAAGCAGACGTGCCTTTGCATGTAATCAATGTTTCAGTCCAACTACCTTGACATATTAAGGAAAGCTTGTTAATGGGACTGAAATGGTGAATGTATGTAGGGCACAACTGTAAAAAATTTTTATTTTGAAGTCCTGTGGGTGTGCTCTTCACTTTAAATATGTTATTGTGCTTGAGTATGCACCTAGCAACAAGATTGGGCCAATATCTGCTCATTACATATGGTACATATTAATGAAATTTCTCTGTGTATTATGCATATATAAATGTACATTAATATGTGTATATATATATATATATATATATATATAACAAATATACACATTAATATACATGTCATATACCAGTGACGGATCCAGAGCCGGGAGGGGCACTTGTAGATTATTTAAAGAAATATTCCATGCACAATAACCACTACTCCTCTGTGTAGTGGTTATGGTGCCAGGAGTGTCGGCACCCCCTCCCAGAGTAAGTAGTCAAACCGTTTAAGAACAGTTTGACAACTTACCTGGAGTCTGCTGGGATATGGGGCTGTAGTAGGGTATAGGAGCAGTGGTGCAATGTGTGTGAAAGGTTCAGTGTGTGGGTGTGGGGGGCAGTGTGTGAATGTGTATGGTATGTGTGTGTGGGGGCAGTGTGTGAATGTGTATGGTGTGTGTGTGTGGGGGCAGTGTGTGAATGTGTATGGTGTGTGTGGGCAGTTTGTGTATGTTTCAATGTCTCCCCTCTCCTTCCTAGTCTCTCTCTTCCCCCTCTGCCTCTTTCTTCCCCTCCCCTTGTGTGTCTCTCTCATTTCTCCCTCTTTGTCTCTCTCTTCACCCTCTGCCTCTTTCACCCCCTTTCCCTGTGTCTCACCATCTCTCTCCCTCCCCCCTTTCCCTGTCTCTCCCTCCAACCCATCTCTCCCCCCCTTTCCCTGTGTCTCTCCCCTCTCCCCATATCTCTCCCTCCAACCCATCTCTCCCCCCCTTTCCCTGTGTCTCTCCCCATCTCTCTTCCTCCCCCCTTTCCCCGTGTCTCTCCCTTCTCCCTCCCTCCTTTCCCTGCCTCTCCCCTCTCCCTCCCTCCCCCCTTTCCCTGTGTCTCTCCCCTCTCCCTCCCTAGCTCCTTTCCCTATCTCTCCCAATTTACCTTAGAGAAGGCAGGGGGCCGGCCGCGTTCCAGACTGGAGCCGCCGTGCCGGGTGGCAGCTTCGCCGGTCCGGCGGCACTCCAGTCACTGGTGGCTGAAGGAGGAGGAGCCTGTCTACCATGCTCCCTCGCGGTTCCTGTGCTGGGAATTGTGGGAACCGCGAGGGAGCATGGTAGACAGGCTCCTCCTCCTTCAACCATCAGTGACTGGAGTGCCGCCGGACCGGCGAAGCTGCCACCCGGCCCGGCGGCTCCAGTCTGGAACGCGGCCGGCCCCCTCTCAGTGTGCCACCTATGTGGCAGTGCAGCCCCCAGGTGCCGCAGCCCACCGGGAAATTTCCCGGTATCCCGGTGGACCAGTCCGGCCCTGGGTGGGAGGGAGAGGGGACCTGCGGTGCCAGGAAAACAGATTATTTTCCTGGCACTGAAGTTTCCCTTTAAAACCCCTTAAGGACCAAACTTCTGGAATAAAAGGGAATCATGACATGTCACACATGTAATGTGTCCTTAAGGGGTTAAGGACACATTACATGTGTGACATGTCATGATTCCCTTTTATTCCAGAAGTTTGGTCCCTAAGGGGTTAAACAAGTTTTTGTACGGATTATAAAATTGAAAAAATTTTAAGAATCACATGAAGTTGGTTTACTTATCTTAAATGTTGTGGTGCACTAGTTACTGCAGTTGTCTGGTTGAGTTTCTGCATTGCAATACAAACTAACTTCCTTGCAAAGAGAAAGCTGAGCATTGTTTAGCATATGCTAGCATCTTCAAAGGTAGGATCTGGCTAGGGATTTTCATATACCAACTACTTCTTGAATCCATTTTCACTGAAATGCCAGATGGTATTTGTTGAAAAGTTGAACTTATCATTTAAAGGGACGTCTGCAATTTGTTTATCCACCTTTAGTAGTGATGTCTGCTCAGACTATTGGTTTTTCCTCTAGATAATGCACATTCTAAACATGATTGAAAAGCAGTCACTTATACTATGTCTCACTTAACCTTATGGTTAGGTCACATTTAAGGTGTTCACGGTATATTTTTAAGACAAAAGAGCAGTTTGACACAAACTGAGGTTCCAATAGGCTTTGCTATTGGATGTTATATTTCCTCTTTAGCAATATACATTAAGTCCATTTTTTGCATTGCATTCATTGATTGAGAAAACAGGTTTAACAATAACAAAATGCTGTGCTACAGGCACTCAGGGGACCTTACATATGTGTCAGTCTGACATGCAATCAAGGGATGGCGCCCGGGCCATACTTTTACCATAACCATTTGATTGAGATGTCTTAGTCAGTAACCGTTTGAAGAGAATGGGATTGGAGAATGAATATACTACTTTTTTTTTTTTTAATGCTTTATTTTTTTGTGCCTAGGTAATACATATTACATATAAGCTAGCAATGCCACAACAGCTGTTGCCAGTGTTTCAATAGATGTATAAAAACAATTGTTTGGTATGAATAACTGTGCACATTTTTAAAGTAATGAAGAGTTAACATAGGAAGACAGTAGGAGCACCATTCTGTGAGATTGAACTAGGAGAGAGTAAGAGAAGGTGTAGGATAGAGCAATATGAGATGACAAGAAAAATATGCCACTGAGTAGGTAGAGTAGATTTTTGTAGCCATGTAGTCAAAGCATAGAAAAACTTAAATATCAGAGCTGCAGCTAACATGGTACTTATGAAAACAGTGAGAGAACTGCTAGACTACTGGAAAGTCTTGTGGACCCCTCAGCCGATGCCAAGAGATGGTGAGTCCCATATGTCACCTTTGTCGGCTATTCCCAGGAGGCTCCCCTATCCGCTCCAGACAGCCAACCAGTCTTGTGTCTTACTGTGATAACTGGGGATCATGTTTCGGCACCTCCGCTTCTCTGGTCATGTGGCTTGAAGTATATGTCTCCCTATGAGACTGGCTGTACTGCGGGTGAAGGGATTCGCTATGAAATAGGTGATGTGAGTTGCGGTAGGCAGGAAGGTCAGAGCGGTGGATGATGGTTGGCCACCGCAATGGTTTCACGCACCTCCTCCTAGTCACCTTGGGGAGATGTGGGGAGCATGGAGACTTGTGACTTCTGCGCAAAGGATGGCTCTGGGGGGCTGTGGCCAGGGCAGCAGGAGCAGAGGTCGTTCTCCGATCCTTGAGCTTTGCCCAAAAGCGCTCACAAATAACATCAAATGCCAGGATGAACCTGTCCACATGCGTGCGCGTCTGCAGGGAGATGTCTGTATCTGCAAGCCCCGGCGGGGCAGCCATTTTGATTGCCAGGCTTCGGCCCTTCAGCTCACTAAGTAGCTGGAGATTTCGGAGGTATGACCTTGTAAGTACACCAGTGGGGACTGGGATATCCCCCACCGGTCCAAAGGGGGGGGGGGAACAGGGCGCGAGACAAGCAGGTTTCAAATCAAGGCCAAGGATCAGCCTCCTCCCCATCCTTGATTCCAGCAGTAGGCCGTAGTGAAGTCCTGCAAAGTCTGTGTCTGTCAGCTGCAGGCAGGAGTCACAAATTGGAAGCAGAGTGCATCTCATGTAGAAAAGCCTACTTTCTGCCAAAAAGAGAGTAGTTAAGCCCAGTTTAAAGTATTATAAATATATTTTCTGCAGGAGCTTCAGCACCATACAACCACTTCAGTTGGCTGTCAGGCCCCGCCTCCCTGAATATAATACTTTTAAGTAATATTTTTATTGTTATAAGATTTTATGATTTATAATTGTATTGGTGTCCATAACATTAAACATCCACCCTAAGGCTCTTCTGCATTGGATTACAGTTTCTTTTTTATGGAATACATAGTTACATAGTTACATCGCTGAAAAGAGACTTGCGTCCATCAAATTCAGCCTTCC